CTACTGCAAAAGCATATTGAACAGCAAACACAGAGACAACGAGAAGAGACTCGATATGAATGTGGTGCTGACAATGAAACTCAATCAAGACAAACCCGTGAGGCGGTGAATGCACAAACCAACAGTAAATCTTCTTTGCTGGGGCCGAATAGGAAGGTTAGTGAACGACTTAAACTTAGAGCTTTATAATGACTATAGCAACTTATTCTTGTTTCACCTGGCTTATCTGCTAAGATGATTTTTCTTGAAGAAGCCCATGCAGTGTAGGACTGGTAGTAATGCTCGTCAGCCTTTGGATCAAAGTTATGCAGCGATGTTAACTTCAGGAACACATGGAGATCAACATCCACGGTATGTATACATAAATCTTGGCTAACTTTTTTGTGCCTTGAATTTGCTGCCTTGACCACTGTTAATCTTATCCTTCATGTAGTCGTGCAAATCCTGGTGGGAATCAAAGATGTTTTTCTGGGATGAAGGATCAACCAAAGCAGCCTCATATTTCCCATGTAAGTCAGCAACTTGTGACTTGTCAATAGCCCCATGCCTCCAACACACTATGGGGGCAAAATGGGAGCCACACTAATACTGAAATGTTTGTTGCTTGCTGAGTCAGGGCCCAAATATTACATTGAATCCCTTAACATGCCTCAAGTCTGCTGTCTCGGATGATTCTCTGACTCAACTTTATGGTGCCAACAGTATTAACTTTCACTTTCATGTAGATGTGCATGATTTTGTTCTATCTTTTGGGAAACAGTGTGCGATGAAACACACAAAATATACTACTTTCTGCTTGTTAATAAAAGCTAATGCACACATACCACGATTCAGGATCAAATCACGGAGTGGGTACTTTGCCTTTGAAGGGTTGGTCACTAACGGTGAGTTCTGTATTTCCCTCCATTTAAACCCGTGAAGCTAATGCATTCATTAATGGAATGGTTTAAGAACAAATAGTTGAATACACGGGATTTAGTCATACTTGTTAAAATGTGATCAAGAAAATAATGACATGCCCTGCTCTTTTGCCTCTATTGATGTACAAAATATTCAAACCCTCTTTGTATATGTAACTATATGTGCTTGTATTTTTTTCCTCACAAGTTTGTACGGAGTACATGTGAAAGCACAGCTTGGTTACTTCTTAAATTCCATAGTATAGCATGCTTCCATAGTGTAGTTGATAAATTACTTCTTTGGATAATGTACCAAAAAATGTTTTTTTTTCATTTGGTTAATTTCATAGGGAGCTGATGATTATTTTCTTAGAAGGTTGAATAAAGTCGTTTCTTTTTCTTTAGTGCCATCATTTATCCCTTTTCTTGCAAAACCAGCACATCAATATGCATGCATATGATTTTAATGGAACAAACCATCCAATGTAGCACAAAAGAAATATAGCATGTTAAAGTGAAACATACCTTTTCCATGATTTGTGGGCTCGTTAATGACCTTGACTGTGTGATAAAAAGTTTCATGAAGAAACTCTGTTTCAATGCCTTCAAGAGCATGATTGACTAAATTTTCTTAAATGATCAGGGATTTGAGCAGCATCAATCTGGACTTTCTCAGCTGCGAAGCCCTTTGGTGCATCCATCTCAACCCTCCCAGCAACTTCAGCTGCAACAGCAGATTCACAGGCTTCTTGGTGATCAGTACATGAATGTCAGGAAAGACATGCAACCACATATTTTGACTGATATGGTTCCCAATGCATTGCCAGTTCAAGCAGGCCTCCCCTTTTTTTCTGGTGCCGATGAAACACTAGTCAAGGTATTCTGTTTCATATTCTCTTTTTTTCTGGTTTGAAACATTTTCTTTTCTTGGAACTAACCAGATTGTTTTGGTATATTTACTAGCTCTATCAGTCAGAATTGGCAAAGGCCAACCGAAGCCAACAACAATATCAAAGGCCTACTGCACTCCGTCAATGCACAGATATTTCGAGATATAAATTTGCACAGCAAGAAAATGCCATTGTTGCAACTAGCAACAGTGCCATTGAGGCAACCTTTTCAAACACTTCAAGAGATAATGATAAGGTTCGTAGTTTCTCCAAAAACTGAATTGGAGAACATAGAAGCACTAACTAGTAACACATTATGTAATTCTTGAATTGTTTTCTCTCGGGGACAAATCTTCTATTTGTCGGTATGCTACTTTTTGGAATGTTGTGGGCTTGTGGTAGGCCGTAGGTGCATTATTATTGTATGTCTACCGGAGTTTCGAACATAAGGTTTCATGTGATGGAAACAAAGAATTCCAATTGGTCCATACTCCATACTGCTATGTGACCTTAGTAAATAATTGCAGAATCCCAATCTTGATTCTTTTAGTGCTATTTCTTTATTGACACAGGGAATAACTGTGGAATGGAACAAAATAGTAGAGCTATCTTCTTCTTTTTATAGTCTTCTGACTTTGTTCTATCTTCTGTTATTAAAGAACCCACGTCTAAGGAAAAGGAAGCTACCAATGTCACCAAACCCAACCAGCAGCTCTGGTACAGCAAATACAATTGGACCATCCCAAAGTTCATCACCCTCTTCCCCTTCAACCCAACCAACAGAAGATGGGGCATCAGTACCTTCGCTGCTTCCAGATAGCAAGTCACAGAAATTTGGCAGCAGTGTGCGTGCTGAAACACACGCATCAGTGTCTAATCAGATGGTGAGTAATTATTACATATATTTCTGCATTCTTTGCTTTATGTTTGGTTCATGGGATTCATAAGGAAAAGAAAGTGGTTTTTTGTCCTTTTCCTCACCAAAACGGAAGGAAAATCAGTATCCTTCTTCTTGGTGCATTTCTCCTCTCATTTTCTTTTCTTTTCCTCTCTAACCAAACAAAATTAAAGCTATTTTCTATTTCTTTTTCTTTTCTTTTCCCTTTTAATTTCCTTGAACCAAACATAGTGCTGTGTTAATGTTTTCAAATCCTTATGTCTTTGTTAATGAATGTTACATCAGGCTGATATTGTTCGCCTTATGAGTCATGGGTCTGTGGACGACAATGTTGATTCTTTCCTTGATGAAAATGTGGGTGGGTCTGAAGATGTGAGTGCTCAGTGCATGGGTATTACATTCTCAAAAGTTGGAAGCATTGAACCCAATGCGGTCAACTGCTTTGACTTCTCATATGAGGGTGAACTTATAGCAACTGGGGGAGAGGATAACAAGGTATCAAATAAGGACAGTTTACTTTGTCTAATGTCAGTAGTCCATAACCTGTTCACAGGGTTAACCTTGTTGCACGGATGGTTTTTTGTTATAGGTTGTCTTATGGTGCACAGATTCCAAGGAGCAAAAGTATATACTTGAAGAGCACTCTAACAAAATAACAGACATTCGTTTTAGCCCCAGACTGCCGCTGCTTGCTTCATGTTCCGTTGACAGGATGGTTAAAATTTGGGATGTTCATAACGTATGCCAAACTGCATCTTATTTTATTAAACATATTAATAAGTATTTCATGAGTTTTATTATTATTATTATTACTATTATTATTATTATTGATAATTGCATTGACTGATACAGCCAGGGCAGTCAATACGAACCTTTACTGGGCATTCTGCCTCTGTCATCTCAGTTGACTTTAACCCAAAAGACGACAACCTTATCTGCTCTTGTGATGACGCTAGTGCCATTCGGTATTGGAACATAAAAGATGGTTCTTGTGCTGGAATTTCAAAGGTATACACCCCTGCTGGTAATTATTCTCTTTTTCTATTATCTTCATTTCTTTTGTTAACTTTGTACTCCAAAATCTCAGGCTGTTGCAGCTCAAGTCAGGTACCAACCTGCTCATGGGATCTTTCTTGCTGCAGCTGTTGGGAATGGTGTGTCGTTGATAGATTGTGAAACTAATCAAACCTGCAGATACCCTTTGAAGGTAAATAATTTACCACTTTGTAAAATAATAAGCTTAACACTATATTTGGTTTGGGGAATTAGAAAGTAAAAGAAAATGCTAAGGAAAAGAAAACCAAAAAAACAAAAAATCCTAATCTTGTTTGGTTAGTAGGAAAATTCATTGAAAATTATTTTCCAATAACTCATTCGTTTGGTTGTTGCAAATATTGAAGGAAAATCATTGTTTTTCATTTCTACTCTATATTTTCCTCACGAAAACTGTTTTTCTTTATAATATTATTTTTCCCTATGAAATTCCTTGAACCAAAGAGAGTGCAAATGATTTTTCAATGCTTCTGAACTAAATTTGAATTAATATATGTTCAGGGGCATGCGTCAAAAGTTCAGTGTGTATGCTGGAGCTCTTCCGGGGACTATTTAGCATCTTTGAGTGAAGATTTGGTTAGAGTATGGAAAATTGGCTCCGGTGGAGACCCAAAGTGCATTCATGAGTTGAGCATAACCGGGAAAAGATTCCGGACGTGCAACTTTCATCCAACCCACCCTTCTTTCTTGATTGTTGGTACCCACCAGGTAACCTAGGATTTATTCTATGTTATACATTGAGCCAACCGTTGAAACAAGATGAGTCCATTATGACTGTAAATTTACTGGTTTCAGTCCCTGGAGTTTTGGAACATGGCGGAGAACAAGACAATGGCAGTCCTCGAGGAGCCTATCTCTGTATTGGCAAGTTCAACACTTACTGGTTTGGTAGCCTCGTCCAGCAGGGGCAAAACGGTCAAGCTGTGGAAGTGAACATAGGCTTGTTTGGCTTACTGAATTTCTTTTCCAGCCTTAACCCTGATGAAGAAAGGTAAATGGTTCTGATTGGTATGTTGTGTCCATATATATATATATAGTAATAGATACACGCAAGAAGCTTATCTAGCAGTAGAAAAGTTTGCCTCTCAAGGGCGGTGAACGCGTTTTTGGTGGTCTCTTGTGCTATGTAAAGTTACCGGTATGAAGATATGGAAATGCAAAAAAACAATTTTTTTGTGGGATTTTATTGGGTTTGTTGTTGACTTGTAGTAGCAGCGCATAGGCTTCGTTTGGCTTACAGAATTAGTCCAGTGAAAAAGAACCGAATTCCAAACTCAGAAGAAAAAAAACATAACCCGAAAAACGGTTACCCCATCAAACTAGAACATGCTCCATGGCCTTGTTGAAGTATATAGACTTGATGTTGAGGTATTCGTTCCACGAGATTGGACGATACACGGGCAAGTCACCACTCTTCATTGGGCCAAGTGGGGCTGAAACTTTGACGTCCTTTCTTGGGCCGAAGGAGTAGGCCACCGATATCCGATGATGGGCCTTGCTCACAATGGCCCGATGCAGCACGCTTTTGAACCGCCCGTTGGAGACCATCTGCATCAAGTCCCCGACATGAACTGTGATCGCGTTGGGAATGGGCTCCACATCCACCCAATTCATATCGGGCCCTTGGACTTGGAGGCCTTTGCTGGTGTTGGTGTGGTACAGCATGGTGATAAGGGACGAGTCTGTGTGAGGGGCCAGGCCCATTGCGCGGGTTGGGTCCGGACATTTTGGGTACGAGTTGAGTTGTACTATGGCCTGCGTGAGCCTTTTGGGCTCGAACCATTCCACATCTCTTTTGTCAAAGCCCAATGACTTGAACATCAATGCGCATATCTTTTCTGCCAGGCCCTTCATTTCTTCTTTGTAGTCATCAATAACAGTGCTGAAACAAGCAAAACATAATAATTTAATTACCAATTTACCATGATATCCAAGGATGTACTGACTACTGAGTAATACTATATTTTCACTTCTGTCCCATTTGTTTCATTTGATCATTTTGCCTCGTTCCAAACTTTTTATCCCTTGTCATTTTGTATAGTTCAAATTCATTAATTAATACATATTATTATAGTAATAAAATATAATTTTAGCTCTTAATTTGAGAGTAATTGAAGTTTAAAGTTCATATTGTTTAACTCAAAAAAATCAAACATGACAGATATACTGGGATCGAGAGAGTATGATGTATAAAACCACAAATAGTATGTAGGGCCCAAGAATTATTTGTAGGCCCCACATATTTTAGAATATACTCCGTAACATAATAAAAGTCTAAATTCTGATTGACATGGTTGGACTGTTGGAGTGACTTGAAATACTCTAAAGGACTAAACTACTGTTTCTAAGCTAAAATGGGTTTTAGCTTTCAATTTTTTTTTTGCTCTAAAAAGGACTTATAGGCATTTCTGTTCGGTAGTGTTTCTAACGTCTCCAAATAGGATGTCATGTGCGATATATCATAGCCAAAAAAATAATACTCCCTCATCCCTAATTTTATTAGAAATTGGAAATTACGAGGTAAAATATTTCGTCTTTTGAAATTATTTTATTTACAAATTGGTATATCAATAAGAAATAAAAATTGAATATTAAAATACTAAGTCAAAAGTTATACAAAACAATATATGACAAGAATATTTTATTTTATCAAATATTTAGTAAAAGTATAAAAAATAAACAAAAATTGTCGAGAGGAGGGAGAAAAAACAATTGTAATCTATTTCGGGACAGAGGAAGTACGTAGTAATATTTGGTCAGTACTCCCTCCGTCAAAATTGCATATTAAAATACTAAGTCAAAAGTTATACAAAACGATATATGACATGAGTATTTTATTTTATCAAATGATTACTGAAATGGAAGAAAGAAAGTGAATGGAATCTGATCATGTGAATAGTAAACATAAAATTTAATTTGGAACGGAGAGGGTAAAGTATTTTGATTTCTTACCTGTCAATTTAAAAAAAATAAAAATATATCTTGATGACTTCAAAATTATCCATATTTTAAATAAAATTACTAATACTCGTTTCAAACAATATACATATCATGCATCCTATCATTATTTAATTTTAAACTCTAAATTTGTTTTTTTAATTGTCAACTTATAAACTGATCTTGCATATATAATTTAAGTATAGAACATATGGAGTATATCATATGATGACAGTTTGAAAATTGAAACTACTGAAATGATCATAGACATTTAGATAAAAAAAAGTGAGATCATTTTAAGAGAGTTCTAACTTCTAATTGGAAAAAATTCTTAACAGTTAAGGAAAACAAATTACAATATATGAAATTCTAATTAAACAAGAAAAAATATAAAAAGAAACTCAAATTCTTATAGAAAATGTAAAATAAAAGAACAAAATCTAGTTTCTTACTATATACTACGTATATTTGAAAAAACATGTACTTCTAAAGGAATATTTGTAGAATAGTGCACTAGCCTTATAGTTGATCAGCAATTAAATGAAAATTAAATATTGTACATTTATTCAATGTGGAGTATAAAAATGATTTTTTAAAGATTTGTTTCCCAAACAAATATCTTATTATTCTTAGTATGTGATGTAATTTTTACTTAATTGATTCTTAATGTTTATTACTTTGATTGAAAAAAAATAAAGAAAACTGGACAAGTATTCTAAGATTTAAGCATATTTAAAGATATGAGCAAATTCAATCATTTTTAACCCGGTAAAATTTGCTCTATTTTTTATTTGACTAAAAATAAATTTATTATTTCTTTTGTTTCTATAAAAGAAATGGACGGGGCTGTAAACGACTAAACGCATCTATATCGCTAGCTGGAGCGTGAATTACAAAATCATAACTAGTGCCAACATTAAGATGTACAAGATCAGCTTTGAGCATTATTGCAAGCACAGCTAGAGTGCCATTTCGACTAAAAAATTAGAAAAAGTGAAATTTGCACTGAATAGGACTAAAACATAATGCATTTCTCAATGTAGTATTTAAACTTTTTTATTCCCTAAATATGACTTAATAATGACCAGTGAAAAGAATAATGTCTTAGTGATGCTAACATTTAGTTGAATAATGACTAATAGATAATGACCAATGTTCTTACATTGGGAAATAAAAATATATGAGTCTATATTGAAAAAGTCATTATGTTTTAGTCCTATTTAGGTAAATTACCTAAAAATTTACACTAAATAGGACAAAACATAAGTCATTTTTCCTAAAACTTTCTGTTCTCTAAATAGTACGGAGTACTTAATAATATCTAGTGGTAGGAATAATATCCAACTTGAATAATGACTAATGGATAATGACCAATGATCCTACATTGAAAAATAAAAACATATGGTCCTATATTAGAAAAGTCATTACGTTTTAGTCCTATTTATGTATATTCCCCTAAAAATGTTAAATATTAGTACAAAAATGATTTAATTAGACATTAAAAATTAAACTAGGAGAATTTACTTAATTAGCATTAAAACATAATGACTCTCCCTAAATAGCACCACATGTGTTTTTCTTCCCAATGTAGCACTTTTAGTCATTATGCATTAGTCATTATTCAAGTAAATATTAGTCATTACTGGATATTATGAATATTATTAAGTGCTATTTAGGGAATAAAATAATAGTTTAAGTGCTATTTAATTAGGGAAATGATTTAAGTTTTAGTGTCATACAAATATTTCATTAAACTATAAAAAACTGTAACATGTGGCAATACATTTTTAAAAAAAATCGTGACTGGGGGCCTTGTTCGACTAGGGGGGGCCTTGACAAAGGAGAGTACAAAATGAAATGACAGTTGCATGCAACACAGGCATACATACGTACCAGAAGGTGGAATAATCTCGAGGCCAAACGCGGCGTGCATGTTCCACCGGCGACCCGGCGATCGTCAGTCCTTCCGACCACATCATCTTGCTAAAGAACCGCGATATGGGGGCCGCCCCGTACCCCGACGGGCCCTCCGGCGACCTCAGAGCCCGGAGCTTCTTCTCCCCCGGCGAGGCGAAGAACCGCCTCGCCTGGTGCTCGATTCCGTCCAGCACCGCGGCGGGGACGCCGTGGTTGGTGACTTGGAACACGCCCCAGGTCTCACAAGCCGTCCTGACGCGGCTCGTGGCTCTGGGGTCGTCAAGATCCACCACGGGGATCGGTTTTTCGCCGCTGGGAGGAGGAGGAGATGGTGGCGAAACTGGTGGTGAGGAGGTGTTTATAGCAATGGATTGGAATAATGGCCAGTTGTGGGAATCTGGGAGGTCAGTGGCATTGTTGAAATCTATGGGGATGAGATGATCAATGGCTAGCTGTGTGTTATTAATGGGTTTTGAGGCTTGCATTTCAGCTGGTTGTTGATACATATTCTATTATATTATATATATATATATATATGTTCTCAATATAAATAGAGCAAGAGATGGATGAGACTTGAGAGAAAGAATTTTTGCAATGAATTTAATTAATTAATTAATAAAGCCATATATGCATGTAAAAAGAGTTGAGAACAAACTGGAGATGGATGAGTTTCTCATGACTACTTAGCTTATTGTCACAAGTGTTATGTGCATGCCATTTGGATATATGGATGGGTTAAAAAATATGTGCAGCTTAGTTTGCGTTTTGTTTGCACTCGCATGTATAAAGGCAGACTCTGATCTGCATCTTTTTGTGTGTTTTGTGTCTCTCATATTTAATTAAAAGTTCCCTTCATTTCATATTTTATATTACCTCTCTCAGCTCTCTCAAAGTATTTGTCTAGTTTAATTTTTTCAGTCAATCGTTTTCAACCATTGACCTATAATTAAATAAAATATATGTAGTATGTTATATATTAATTAATTAGATAAAATAATATTTTGAAAATATTTTATACTCCCTCCATCCCACAAAATATTTTTTATTTTGATTTTTAAGTGATCTAAGAGGAGTGTATTTTGGTATTGACTTTCCAAAAATATCCTTGGATGTGATAGGTAAAAGTAGATGTGGTAGGTAGGTTAGTAGTGAAAAAAATGTGATGTGATATGTAGGTTAAGATTTAGTAGGGGTAAAAGTGACTTTTTAAAAAAATGAAAAAAGTTTTTTGAATAGACGAAAAAAGAAAGAAGAAAAGTTTTATAGGACGGAGAGAGTATAATAAATCTAAAAAACCATGTTTGTATCAATGTGTAATATCATTTTTATTTAATTTGGGATATGACAAAAAAGTTAAAAGTGGATAAATACTCCGGGACGGAGAGAGTACTTCCTATTTTCAAATATGTTTATTTGTCTAGTTTGACTTTTGTTTGGTATTCAAATTCAATGAAATTTAGTTATCAATTAAATAAATATTACAAGGTACGTATATTTTAAAATAAAATAACTTTTTAAAAATAATTTACAAGATAAATATAATGGAATCACTTTTAATTTGTGTAAATATATAATATTTTTTATTTAATTGATGATCAAAGTTTATTTATTTTCACAAAAATAAATTAAATTAACTAGACAAACACATTGTTTTATTGTTCTTTTAATTTATTTGCAAAATAAATTGTACATTGTAAAATACATTAATTATATTGTTCTTTTATTTTTTTAGATAATCGAATTAAAGAGTTATTATTAGTAAGTTTAGAAGGCAAACTAATTAGAATGACATATACTCCCTCCCTCACATTAGATTTTTTATAGTATTTGTTAATTTTATCCATTCCATTGATGAATTCCTTGCATTTTTATTTTAATTAGCATAAACGAATGAATAAACTGTTCATCTTTTACCATTTTATGGGTCATGCATGAACTAGGGACACCTCCCACGCACTCTTTGGACCATAGTGAGATTATAAGTTTTACATATCCCAACCATGTTTTCCAACTTGCGTCGGATTAATCTTAAGACTCTAAAATTGTAACCAAAAATCTTAGAGGAGGTAATCAAAATTCTTTCATCCCTCAGTTTCTTACGTAGTCTGTACAATTTTGTGCATAGACAAGGTGTCATCAGATATTGATTGGTCAGCGTCCGATTGATTTCGCTGGTTTTTTTTCCCGTACTCAACATCAGTTTGCTAGCCGCCTTCCAAATATATTCATCTCGGGTTCCTAGTAGATCCAAGCTCCAACACTTCCGCTAGAAATGAAACACCGATAATTGATTTGATTAAAGAGTTACTCTAGGGGACTAGGGTTCATTGATCAAAAAGTCCTCCATATCACCTGCACAATGAGTTGAGCTCAAGAACTCCTGAAGAAGAGTCTTAAGTGTTGGAGGTGGTGATCACTCCAACTTATCCCAACGTAGTTTCCTTTAGAAAGGAGGATAAACCGTGTTGGAGGTGGTGATCACTCCAACTTATCCCAACGTAGTTTCCTTTAGAAAGGAGGATAAACCCTGTCCTATGGTCTCCTATGTTTGGCCTATACAATAGCCTGAAACGAGGTAAATAGAGCTTTAATCTTAGAATAGTCAATAACATGAAAACTGATGTTAAGATTGTTCATTATTCATTACCATTGCTAGGATTCAAACCTAATTATTGACCAACTAGCAAGGCCCACTATATTTTCATTACTCTCTTTGATGCCCACATCCTACCCTACTTACTCTTCATTTGTACCTTTCATTATTTTATTAAATTAATTGTACTTTTCATACATAGAAAAGAGGGAGAATAAACAACTAGTCCATCAATCCTAATTTAGAATACCTAGATTGACTATGGTTCAAAAACAAAGAATGGGAAAAATATGATTGATCTTTTAAAAATATCCTCAAGCTCAATTAATTGAAAAAGGACAAAATCAAACGGTACACACATAACCAAGCACTCCTATACTACAAACACAATCAAACAATCATTACATGTAACACCAAACACGCATCAAGATTGCATCATCCCAATGTACACACTTCAAAAGTTGTTAAACCACTCTCAAGAAAAAATAAAGGAAGATGCACTAGACAACAACCCCGGCCAACACAAGGCCGTAAAAGGAAAAAAGACTAAATTAGGGATACAACATATAGAAAATATATCAAAAAAGAAATATAATATTTTTAATTTTTCCATCACACCGACCTGTTCGTTGTGATTCACAATCTTTGAGGAAGTGTTGATCAATATATTTTGTTTTTCACTCTATATGGTATTGAAATCGGTTAAAGACATCCATGATGAAATACTTGTTAAAACCGTTGAACATAACCACCATGAAATTCAAATTACCCATATGAAGATGTCCGTTCATGGTATCTTGATAGCAATACTGATGGATTCGTATTGAACGTTTTAAATTTCTATTCATTATTACAAAACGTTTAAAGGCGCACTTCAAGTGTGAATTGAATAGGGATTGTATAATACTTCTAAAATCCTCATAACATTTTGAGTTACTTATTTCCTGGAGTCTACTACAGTATTTCTTTTGAAATCCCTCCAATACGATGGGGTAATGAAAAGAAGTCCCAAAGCATATGCATAAGAAGAAGAAATTCGTGCTTGGACGAGATTGAAAAGCAAACATAACTAATCAAACCAAATGAAATTTGTCTAAATGTAAAAATCATCTTACACAATGATAAATACATAACTGTTTCTTACGACTGAAGAAAATGAAATCGATTTTACAAAACTGAACAAGCATTATTCGGTCACGCCGTACCCATAGAGTAATTGAATGGAATATGAATGAGTGCTGTGAATATATATGTACTGCTGTATATATAATACGATTATATTCATAATATGCATAATCTTACACTGATTTCTTCGAAAGTGGAATCACCAATCTGAAGCGGTTGACATTTGCTGATAGAATCTCTCATCTCTTTTGGAAGTTGAACGATTTGATTGCGTACGCAAAAATCACAGTGAATAAAACGCAAAAGCCGACAACCATGAAACCAGCAATGCCAACAAAATCGTGCCTGTACCCAAACACGTTCTTGATTAACAGTCTCAAAGGAACTGATGAATCCATCCCATCTGGTAGTTTTATCAGACTGCTGACGTCGCTATACTGGGAAGCAACAATGCCGTATAGGCTCCATGAAACTGGATTTGCCCAGTAATACCATCTCCACCATATTGGTATTCTCTGTAAGAAAGGCATGCAGAAGAGGGATCATCAAATGATCATGAACAAGTAGCTTCTAATTTTGATCTTTTAATTTCTTGCACAACTTTTTACATTAAGAATGCAAAACAAACACAAATGCTTCACATCTTACTAGACATATTTCTTGGCACATATTTACTCAAATAACTCAAAGTTAAAAAAAAAAAAAAGAACGCAGCTTCAGGTTACCTTGTGGGGTATCATTAATCCGCAGAAAAGGTTCCAAAGCATATAGAAAGGAGCGGCAATGACAGCAGCCACATTGTGATTAGGTGTGACCGCAGTTGTCATCATTCCGTAGAAGGTGAAGTACAAGATTGTAAAATACATGAAGAATATATACCAAATGAATTTCGACGCAGACCATTCAAAGGCTGCCATCGAATAGAATATCGCGCAGTAGATTAGTGATTGCGCAAGCACGTATGGAAACTCAATAACAACCTGTATAGGAGAAATCAAGCATTGTTTTTTTACATAAAAAAGTACACCAGATGGATAGTTTACACTGCCGTTAATGGAGTAAAAGACTGAACCTGGGCAAATGCAAATGGTAAAGCTGAATACATCCCTGCAGCCCTCTCTCTATACGACACAAATCTTTCAACTGAGACAACAGGTTGAACAGCAGTGGCATTTGTGACTCCAATGAAGAGTACTGCTGCATATATGGATCCCATGGCGTTAAATATATCCTGCTGTGTGTCTCTGTATCAAAGAGAGAAAATTTGTAATTGAGGCGGCATATGGAAGGACTAAAGAGAATTTGCTCATTTAGATAGTGACGCAAAAAAAACAGTGCAAAGTGGAACTACAGTCATGATAAGCCCGTGATACAAACCTTTTAGAACCAAATCGCCAACATATTGTCCCCAACATCAATGATATAATGAGTGTATAGAAGAAGCGAACTGCGGTGTATTGTGGGTTTCGCCAGTAAGACAGATTTTGCTTCCATAGACAGGTCAGAAATTGATTATAATATGATTGAGAGTACTTAGTTGGGAAATTCAAATCCTTCAAATCATTGCTTGGTCTGCTTAGCCTCTCAACCAACACTTTATTATGCCTGCACAAGAGTAAGAACATAATGATACTTGAGAACAAATAATATGGGACAACCGCACAGCTAAGAAAGCGTGAGAAGTTATACATACTGAAAAAGATTTGATCTTCGATATATCTCTGCAAAATTAACACCAAGTCGGGCTTCTTCTATTGATGATGTAACCTCCAACATCCATGTGGCAGGGTTATAGCCAAGCCTAATTTTTGGAACCCCGTCAATTGCCTACATTAACCAGTAAAAAAACTGGTATCACTTTTACAAGTCCAAGATGTTAGCCAAAAAATTACTCCGTATTTAAAATCAAAATTAGGTCATGCAGGTATGCCCCATATTCAATGACCTCAAGATACTCGATCAGCTTGCAAGACTTAGGACCAAGCTCCCCGGCATAAATGAGCTCTCCACCCCGCTTCATTAACAAGAGCTACAAGAAATCAATATGAAAATATAAGAGATTTTGAACACAAAAAAGTTCATGTGTCTGCATGGAATCATAACTATTAACTACAGTTATCATACAGCACAACAGCATAGTATAGGAGAGGTAAATAGAGAGAGAGAGAGAGAGAGAGAGAGGTGACCTCATCAAACGATTCAAAGATATCAATACTGGGCTGATGGATTGTGCAAACAATCGTTCTGCCAGTGTTTACAATATTCCGTACAGTCCTCATCACAATTGCAGCAGCTCTTGCGTCCAACCCAGATGTAGGTTCATCCATGAATACAACTGAAGGGTTTGCCACCAGTTCAACAGCAATAGTGAGCCGCTTCCTTTGCTCTGTTGATAATCCGTCAACTCCAGGTAGGCCAACCAATGCTCCACTCAGTGGAGTAAGCTCCACAAGCTCCATTACTTCATCAACAAAAGCCTGAAAGCATAATCATCTCTTTATACCAAATCATGCCTGAAACACATAGAACAGTATTATGTTCCTTGTTTACCTTCTGAGTTTCTAAATCAACATCTCGTGGTAAACGTAGCCAAGCAGAGAATAGTAGTGATTCAAGAACAGTCAAACAAGGAGAATGGATATCATTCTGCTCACAGTAGCCAGATACTCTTGCAAAAGTTTCTTGATTTTTGGGGTGACCAGATATATAGACATTCCCTTCAATGATTCCACCAGTTTTTCTACCAGCTAGCACATCCATGAGAGTTGTTTTACCAGCACCACTTACACCAACCAATGCAGTGAGCACACCAGGTCTAAATGCTCCAGTCACATTGACCAACAATTGCAATCGGTCTTCAAGTATTCCCTGTTGCTTCAGTTCCTGAGGCAATATATACAAGTATAAGTAATTCCAACCAAAGAAGAGTCCAAATAAACTCTAGATAAGAAATTAGAGATGCATGTACCAGGGGCACATCAACATAATAATTGATATTGCTGAAAGACATAGAAAGAGGTTGAAAAGGAAGAACCATGCCTTTCTGTTTGAAACTCTTTCCTGTCGTAATTGCAAAAAATAAAAGAGTTTTGTTAGGAATGATCTGTCAAAATATTTTTAACTTCATGCAGTGATGACAACAGTGGATGTAGTTCTTACTAGCCAGTGAGCCTGAAAACTTTAGATACTCTTTTAACTGAATAACAACAGCTTCATCATTTTTAGCAATGTTGGTATCCTGATCACCTTCCTCAGAAATAACAGCTTGATGTGTCACAAGCGCTTTAAAAAATGAAAGGAAATGAATATGCTGGTTAATAAGGGAACAATTCAATATGTTGTGAGGGATAATGTTCACATGACTTTGATTTCTTCATGCAACACAACTCCGATTAAATTAGAGATTACTTACGGTCAAGGTAGGCCAGGAAAAATGTGAATAAGAAGTTGAACAAAATTGTGTATCCAAACAATGCTCCAAGGCCAATCCAGTACCAATAGCCCTGTGGGAACAAACTGCGCGCCTTCAACACTGCCTCCCCTAGATGCAAGCTAGTACTGTTGCCAAATCTCTGCAGGAAGAAGGGTGGAGAGTCAGAACCTCCTACTACACATGCGAGGCTGAAAGCACATAAGTTCTATGGAAAATACTCAACCATGAGAAAAATACAGTGAATAATAAGGAGATTTAAATTTTAAAATTAATCCCTCTATCCCATAATGTTCTTCCCCTTTGCTTTTACATAGATTTTTTGGCGCTGAATTGTGTTCGAGAGTTATTAACAAAGGAAGAATCAATATGAACTATACAATTTTTCCATAATGGGATATGAGAAGAACTTTATGGGAAATCCAAAAAAGGGAAGTGAAAAAGACAATTTGGGACAGAGGGAGTATTAAAATACATTGTCATACCATTTTAAATATAACTGAAATTCAGTAAAAGAAATTTCCTTTCGAAAAAAAGTAAAAGAAATTTCAAGACTGAAGAAAATAAAAGAGCTTGGCAATATAAGTGTATACTTTGTCCCAAGAATGACCTAGAAATTCGTTCACAGAAGCTGCATCTTGAGCATACATCAGTGGCGAAATCCAAAACCCCCAGATCCACCAGCTAGGTATTCTGTCTGTCTCAAATAAGGTAAAGATCATGAAATGTGCTTGTAACATGTTTTTGAACACTCTCCGGAAAGGGAGGTGGTTGGGTGTGCGAATGCATTTCAAGAGTATTACAGTTTTACCTCTTGAAACAACGTATCCTCCAAGCACCAATACAACTAACATGGCAAAAGACCCAAATGTATTTGCAACAATCATATTGCGGCCAAGTACAGCCATTAAACGAAAAAGGGAAAGAGACACTTGGTGGAGAAAGAAAAATAGCAAGAACTGCCGGAAAAACCTGTAGACAAAATAAATGAAACATTAATAAGTGCATGATCACATAAAGAAATGACTAAATATAAATCCATAGACTGTAAATCAAGCTATAGCTGATGCATCAAACTACTACGAAGATTCCATAAATTGAGTTACCTTGTAATATTAGGATCATATCCAACCACATAATATGTAACTGCTACCCAAAAACCAGATTCTATCAATGATGTAGGAATACTCAAGATCCAAGAAGGAAGAGTGTAAGCCCAACCAGGATAGAAGTGCAAGTCCCTATGCTTGTAGAGCACTGGAAGCTTAGCAACCAGCATCGGAACCTCAGTAAATCCATTGTACAGAATGATAATCATTGAGAAGTACAGAGCCCCAAGAAAGAGTCCTCCATCATCAATCGTGTTACGATGAAGGGTTGTGCGGAAAAAGACACTCATGGTAATCAACGCAACAAAAAGAAGCTGGAGCGTGGCAGTCATAATTGGAGAATGAGAAAAGGCTTTAAGAAACATAGTATTGAATTCTTAATTCCAAAAGCCCTTAAAGTCGTGTGTATGTGTGTTTATGTGTAGTCTATGAGTGAGTGAGTGTGTGTGTGTGTGTATCAAAGAGCTGATTAAACATTCCAAACGGCATAATGAGCTGACCTGAATAAATTTAAACACATAGATAAATGAGTTCCTTTTCATCAACAACAGCTGCCAGTCAAAGTTTGTTCTTAGAAGTTCTCTCCTGTTTACTCCAAACTTCAAAGTTGATAAAGCTGCTGGATGATTATACCGTTTGTCAAAAGGAATGCCCAGCTCTTCAGATAAATTTTTCCCGGTCTGGTATGAACTAAAAGCTTCAGCGAATTTTCCTACTGGAGTGTATCGGAAAGGGCGATCAGGCACACTCCAGTACTGCTGCTGGTCCTTCTTTGATACAACCTGAAAATACAATGTTTGAGAGTTGAGTACAATCCTATAACAATAATTCATTCTAAATGCAGATGGACAGAAAGCTACTTCTTGAAGGAAGTCCGCAACATTTTTGCGCTCCGGACAGTGGAATCCCATATATGAGAAAAAATCAAGTACATCCTCGCGTGGACCTTGGTATACTATCTGTCCTTCAGACAATAATATAATGTCATCAAATAACTCATATGTTTCTGGAGCAGGTTGAAGAAGTGAAATAATTGTCGTTCCATCTAGTGCATGTGTTGAATGCCTAAGATATCTGACGATTTGGTAAGTAGTAGAGCTATCAAGCCCAGTTGAAATCTCATCCATGAACAGAGCTCTTGTTGGACCAACTAACAATTCACCTTAAAAAACCACCAAGCACATGTCAAAACAGAAACAACTCTAAGTTCCACTATAAGATGAAAAAACCAGTTGATACCTGTTGTGAGCCGTTTCTTTTGGCCTCCAGAAATTCCTTTGAGCATTTCATCACCTACTGGGGTGTCCGCACATGTGTCCAGCCCTAGAATCTTTGCCACATAAATATTAGTACTTCATGAAGATGATGGGAAACCACATCCAGATTGGTGTTATGGAATTAAGGCTTGTTTTCAGAGAGATGGGTTAGTAAAGAACACCTCTGTCCCATTTTATGTGTTCTATTTTTTTATTTTTATTTTTATTTTGAACCAAAGTACTCCTTATGTTTTCTATTCTTGCAACAAAGTAAAAAATAAACTATTTAAACTTCAGTTTTTATTATACTTACATTATTAAACTATTACTAAAGCAGATGTACATATACTTAGAAACTACATGCTAGGTATTAAGAGGTAAAAATAAACAAACAAGAAAGGATTCAAGAATATTAAGATGAAATTAAACAAAATGAGCAAACAATGAAGTGTTCGGTGGACTACTATTGACTTATTGCTAATTAGCAATTTTTAAATGATAAGTTGTTTATATGTTAAATATTCTTTCATGGAAGTAAAATGACTTGTATGATAGATAAGTCATTTGGGAATATTAAATGTAATACCTCGTATCAAGATGGGAATGGGAAGAGCTCAAAAGGATTGATAGTACTACTCATACCAACAAGGTGCATCTTCTTTTCGAGAGCTCATCACTTAGAAACTCCAAGGTTAAGCGTGCTTGACCTGGAGCAATTCTAGGATGGGTGACCCCCTGGGAAGTTTTCCTTGGGCGCGCACGAGTGAGGACAAAGTGTGCGGGAAAGACTTGTGTTGGTTTGTGGGGACAGTCTACAATTCTATGAGCGAACACTTACGGCCAGGCTGGGGGCCGGGGTGTTACATTAAAGAAAGGTGAGTTATAGTTTGGTAAATACTCTAGTCAAAACAGAGAAATGAAAAAATTGGCTTAAAATTAAGTAGGTATGAGTGTAAGACCTACTTTTTTCCGACGTATAAGTAACTTATAAGCACAAACATGTCACCAACTAACTTATAAGGAGTAAGTTGTTTTGACTAGCTTATAAGCACAGAAAAACACCTACTAAATGAGAAAAATGGAGTATTCATCTCTCTAATTGTTCTAGAACCACAAAGGTTTTCAAATTTTCACATTGTGGGTCCATCCGTTTGACGCCATTGTGCATTCAACTTAACAATTGAATAAATGCTAATCTTAGAACAATGGCTAAAAGTTTAGTATGCTGAGAACTCTACTAAATTGTGCTTTGTAAAAAGTAACAAGAACTAATCCAGAAGCACAATTTTTGCACCTAGAGAATGAGTAAGATATCTGCTGTCATTGTGCAGCTAAATGGATTGATAATACAATAGAAAACATAATTTAAATACCTTTAAAATGTATTCAACAGCAAGACAAGTCTCCTTGCCCTCCAAAGCCAATGCCTGAAGAAAGTGAAGTCATCACTCCATATGTCTTTTGCATTGAAATCATTAATAAATTCCAGAAGGGACACTCTATGACTACACTAGCCTTTATGAAGATGTCAAGATCTTCATCAGGTATTATTCCAGCAATTTTTTCTCTTCTTGTAAGTTCCAGAAGCATATCTGTCACAAGATTCTAGACTTAAGCAACAAGCAGTTAGATTTACATAAGCATAATCTTCTATAAATTACCATGTTTGAATCCAACACCCTGACAGCGTGCGGAGAAGTCCAGAGTTTCCCTAACTGTCATTTCTGCTGCATGTAAGTCTTGTTGATTCACATAAGCAGATGTCCTTTGAGGAACAAACTCATTCAGGCCATGTCCGTTGTAAGTAATTTTCCCTGTCATCTTTGGATTGATCAACACATAAGTGAGATGTGTGTTCAAATAATGAAAATCGTGAATCCCCATTACAAAAAGTAAAGCAGCCCAACCTGAATCCTGATCAAGGTTTCTTGAAGCAAATAGTCTTATACCTGCAAGTCTGATTTAAGGCGCCCAGCAAGAGCCATCAATAGTGTTGTCTTCCCAGAGCTCGGTGGACCAAGCAAAAGAGTTAACCTTAAGATATCATTAAAGATTTTCAGATAAGAAAATTCTCAGACACTATCTTCACTGTGAAGCTGATATTACTTCCTACCTCGAAGGTCGAATTATACCACTGACATTGTCCAATATCATCAATTTTCTCCTCTTAGCAGAGTACATTTTTAGAGTCCGTAAAAGAGCCTGTATATTTTGTATGTATGAAAGGGAAACAGTTCAAATGGTAAAATAGCCAAAAGTTACTATAACTAAAGAGTTTGATAAGCAAATCTTACCTCAGTCATATTAATAACAAAATTTGGAATGGTGGGTAATGCTCTACTACCAACATGAACAAAAGTTTCAACTTTCAAGTTCTGAAATCTGACTTCAATCTTTGGAAAGTCCAAGTCAACTCTGCGATGTTAAAGACAAGAACAGTTTGGATTCCTATAACTACACACATATAGCATACACACAAAAAAAAGTGCTATGACCGGGAAAAAAGGACAACAAAGAGCACTAGACAAATAGGCAATGCAAGATTATTACTATAACACAATAATGATCACACCTACCAGCTACTTCCCAGCTACAATTTACAACATCGAATGCTACTGTGTAAGCAAATAATCAGCTTTAAAAGGATCGAGCTTGTAGTCAGACAGGCATTTACAATCCTATCAACAGCTTTAAAAGGACCGAGCTCGTCAAATACTACTACAGCACCCTATACTACAGCACTCTTTTCTTTCTCTACTGAATGAGAATACTTGATACTTTTGGAAACATTTTAAAGAGCCAGTTTGGTAAGGCCTCAAATGTAGAAATTAGCTAAATCTGTCAAATTTAGTGAAAGTGTGGCTGGAATGATAGGATCTGTTGAATAAACTAAATCAATTATGAGTATATAAACTACTCTTAATTTTCTCAAATAAATTAAGGTAGTGTTTGGGAACTAGAATTTCATTTCAATTCATGCATTTCAAATCCAAAATTTGTATTTTTGAATTTCAAATGACAAGGAGAGGTATATGGATTTCAATTTGAGCTTTGTTATGAAATAGAGGAATTTGACTCAAAACCAAATCCAAATCCAAATTTTTTAAGTTTCTCAAACATGAAATTTGAGTCAAATCCGAATTTGAAATCCAAATCCAAATTCCAAACATACCATAAGAAAAAATGGCACCTAAGATAAAGGTAGAAATATACCAACTAGGTCAAAGAATAAGCATAATTTTAGGCCTCTTTTTTACCATCAAGAACTAGGATTCAAATCGCATCATCCTAATGATAAATTCCAACCCCTCCGCATTTTTAAAATTCCAATATAAAAAAACTCAATTGATGGATGCGAAGAAGAAAAGGAAATCATCCAGTGAACTGAGCTGGACTCACTATCACTATCAAGCAGCTCATGTAGCACCAAAACACAAGTAGCGGAAGCTGAAATTGAGGACCAAACCTATCGAAACGGCGTCGCATGCGGGTGAAGAACTTCTCCCAGTCATCGTCCACAGAGGCGAACAGCCGGTCCAGGAGCACCTTCCGCTCGTCAATCTCAAGCTTGTCCACATCGATCTCCTTCACATCGCCGACAATGTTCCTGAACAGCCCCCGCCTCGCGCGCGCGTACGTCGGCAGCCTCTCCAGCGCCGCCCACCGCAGCGCCTCCTCGTCGTCGCCTTCCTCCCTGAACGACGCCGACCGCACGGACAGATTCTCCACCGAGTTCCACATCCCCGCAACCGCTAGCTCCGCCTCAGATTCCGGAAATTCACTCCACTAATTCGTCGTCTCATACCACACCAACTGTTAACCCTATCAACGCATTTAAACATATATATATATATATATATATATATATATATATATATATATATATATATATATATATATATGAACACATTTCCACGATGAAATACAGGAAGAATCAACCATAAGGAAGTAGATGATCTTGCATTTATGGCATTCATACCCCACCCCGAACCCTAACCCCAACCCCACCCGGTAATTCGCCAGCAATCCGCGGCGGGGTCCGCAATGGTAATCTTCGGAGGTAAATTCCCAGCAAATCAAATCAGAGAGAAGTTATTAAATGTGACTACAGTTGGATGGACTTCTCTTTCGACGACCAACTGTATGCGCCAGTGCTTCATTAATTGCGCATGAAAAAGAGGCAGAGGAAAATGGCGGGTTGTCTGTCATCAAGGACGGATTTTTGGCTGAACGTGATGAACTGAAAGGCGCCAGTCACTCGCGGGACTGGTTGGAGGGTTCGGCACGCGCGGGGGAGATGAGATTCGTTGCCGGTGGTTGCAGGGGTTTTTGTTCCCCCGGCCCGTTTGGAGATGGGGCGAGTGGGGGTGGTGGGGAAATGGAGGAGATTTGAACCCGTAACGGTTGTCAAGTGGGGAGGTTTCCCGTTGGCTTGTAGCACCCCCATTTTGTTTTGGACAATGCTAGGGTACACCAACATGGATACCCCAAGTATACACCAAGCCAACACAGATATACACAGACACAAAATATCTGTGCAACACAGACACTTTGTGTCTGTGTATGTCTGTGTTGATTGATGTACATTTGGAGTACTCCATGTTAGTGTACCCTAGCTTAATTCTTTTGTTTTTGTTTTAAAATAGGTTAAACTTATGGGAATTCTAAATTCTAAGTCCTAACTTGTATATTAGTGTATTACATATATACAAAAAATGATTTTAGATATTAATACCAAAATACGGAGTAGTTTTATTCAATTTGTTATATTAAATATTTTTAAAATATTATTATATTTAATTAATATACGATATATATTTGGTTTAATTAAATGTCAAAGTTTGAAAATGGTCTTTAAGGTACTCAAGCAGGGAGTCCTTAAACTAGAATAAATCGGCGTGTGTTTATTTTACACTTTTAGTCTCTGGGTTTTATTCATTGTTTCCGCACTTTCTAATTACTGGTGTTATTAAACTCCAAAAAGTTTTTAAACACCTTATTCACCCTTCTTTAAGCAGGGCCGCCCAATCACTATGAAAGGCCCTATGCAATTTAATAACTTAGGTCCCAAATTTTATGTTAAAACTAGATATTTTGATAAAGCAAAAATACTACTACCTAATACGGACTATTAGTTATTTCATTAAACATAATATAATTCATTTCAATTTTTTCAAAAGAGGATGACTCAAAGGTTTTAATTAGGCTATAGTCTTACTAAATCAGTTTTAAATGTACAGTAACAAAAGATACAAAATTATGTTTTGGTATTGAAAAAAAAAATCAGAAAATTTGAAAGAAAAAACTTAAACAAAAATATCTGAAAACAAAAATTTGAAACATATGCCTATTATTAATTAGAATATGAAATTTGGAAAAATTTTAAACAAATAAATCTAAAGTAAAGAGTTATCAAGATTAGGAACACAAATCTATAGAGGGGAGGAAGCCATAAATCTCATAATAAAGAGAGAGGAGAAGGAGAAAAGGGGGGAGGAACCGAAGAGCCTATTCTACGGAGGAGGAACCAAAAAGCCGGGATGCCGCTAAAGAGCGAAGAAGAATCAAGAATTTAAAAAATCCGACTACTACATAAATGGATAAAGCATTGGACTTTAAAACTGCATTGGGCTGAGATATCCTCGGTATAAGATATATATAAATGATGGGCCCCCTAAACTTAGAGGCTCTCTGCAAAAGAACATCCTGAACTCCCCTTTGGGCAGGCCTGTCTCTAAGACGTGTGCATATCGACTAACACAATACAAATATATTATGATAGTACTATTTCTCTTCATATTACTGTCAATCTAATTTTTAATGAACATACAAAAATATTGAGATTGATTATCATTTTGTATGAGATGAGTTGTTACAATGAGTCTTAAACAATTCTCATGTGTCCACACACAATCAATGTGTGGATATTCTTACAAAGGCTCTTGGCATAGAACATTTTGATGTTTTGCTTCCCAAGTTGGGTGTATGCTTATTATAAATTACCTCCGTCTAATTGTATTCGCCCAGTTTGAATTTTTTCGAGTCAAACTAAACAAACGTTAAATTTCAATGAAATAAAAATTGTAATGTCTATTAATATAAAAATAATTTATTTATATTCACCTTCTTAAAAACTTTAAATTTCTTATTTTATTGTATTTATTGAGATTAATTGAAGATTAATCTTCATCATGTTTGATTTTAAAAAGTAAAACTAAGACGGAATGAGTTTTATATTTATGGGTCATGCTAGGGGCACACCAAAATTGGGAACCTCATTTGTATACCAGGCAAACACACATACATAGTGTTTGTGTTTGTCTGTATTTGCCTTATATACAAATAGGATATCCCATTTTGATATACTCCTAGACTTATTCTATATTTATTTGCATAAATTTACTTTCCTGTTGTACTTTTGGTAGTGGGATACACCCGTACATTAAGGGGGGTGTATTCAATATAGATTTTAATGGATTTTTTTGGATTTTAAAAGTCAGTGAGTATTCAATTAAGATTTTTAAAAATCATTTAAAATCTAGATGTATTCAATTGAGATTTTGAAAAATCTTTAAAAATCTAATGGTATTTTAAAATTGATAGATTTTAAAGAATCTTTTTTTTTTTAAACAGATTTTAAAGAATCTTTGTTCCATATGGATTCTGAAAGATTTTGTAGGCTTAAGTATAAATAAAAATCTTATTACAAATCCCAGCCACAAAGGAGAGATTTTGCCCGACTCCTATCATCTTCCCCTCTGTTGGGACTGCGCGTGCCCTCACCCCAACCCCGCATTAGTATGATATTGTCCGCTCTGGGTCAAGCCCTAACGGATTTGTTTTTGGGCACCTCCCAAAAGGTCTCATACTAATGGGGTTGGGTGAACCTATATATTTTGGTCCATTTTTACTTATCCCTCCGGTGTGGACTTGGAGGAATCCCAACAAACCTCCCTTCATCCAAAGACCACACAACTTCCGACCTCCCCTCCAGCGGTAATCCCTTTTTTTCTCTTTATCTGCTAACCATCTTGCACCGCCGCACACTCTTTGCGGGACACGCCGCCCGACCTCCTGTCGGGAAGACTTTCGACGCAAGGCTCGAACCGCAGATCTTTCCTTCGATGGGCTACACCATTTGATCCGCCAAATCATCTTGTACCGCCGTGGCTATAACTTCACGGGACGCGTCGCCCGACCTCCTCTCGTCGGGAAGACTTTCGACACAAGGCACCACCTGCAGATCCTCTTTCTTGGTCTTGGTCCTAGTTACACCGTCACACCGAGAATTTTTTCCACACTGCACAGTCCGTTGCTCACGCCCGCAAGAACCTGGGCTCTGATACCACATGTTGGGACTGCGCATGCCCTCACCCCAACCCCGCATTAGTATGATATTGTCCGCTCTGGGTCAAGCCCTCACGGATTTGTTTTTGGGCACCTCCCAAAAGGCCTCACACTAATGGGGTTGGGTGAACCTATATATTTTGGTCCATTTTTACTTATCCCTCTGGTGTGGACTTGGAGGAATCCCAACACCCTCTTGTATCACATACGATTCATCTTCCGACTCCTCTTCATTAGCGATCATGGAAGCTCCGTTCCATCTCCCTTCCACAGCCTCTTCTCGCCGCCACCAGATCCCATCACTTCCGCCTCTCTCTGGAAGCTGGAGTCTCTCTAATTCTCTTCCATGAACAAAGTCTCTCTAATTCCCGATTCACTACAATCCAAGCACCTTTGACGGCTAAACTTTTGGGGATTATGAGCGATTTTTGTTCCTCTTTCAAGGTATGAAGGTGGATTTCATATCCATTTGAATTTTCATTAGATTTGAGGATTTGTGGAGAATACGAAGTCACTATTCATGATGTATATATGGAGCACAAATTGCACTGCTTCTTGCTTGGTTTTTTTGGTGAATTTCTTTTGTGGATTCCCGTGAAGAGAACAAATTGCACCACTGGAAGAAGCCAAAGCATTTGTGCGGATGGATTATAAAAATCTCTTAGAATCTTATAAAATCTTTCTCATAAAATACACTACAATCTATCTAACTCTGCGCAGATTTAAAACAATACATGAATTTTACAAATCCATAAATTTTAAATAATCTATCAGAATATGTTAAAATCAGGATTGAATACACCCCCTAAGTTTCCTTGCATTTATTTGATGGTATATATTCAGACTCTTGTGCATTGTGTCTTGTGAAGTCCTTAAGCAAATATACGAAATCATTTTCCAATATTCTCTCTCTGAGTGTTTCAAATATAAATATTTTATTTTATTTATTTTATGTAATAATACTCTAGCATCAGATTGGCAACACAGGTTCCCTCGAGTGGAGTAGAGGTGGAGTTTGCATCTAATTGCTCTATCATCGTCTGATAAGAATTGTTTTGTTGATGCTTCCTTATTTCCCCATTTCCGACTGACAGGTTTTGGGTGTGTCCTATTAGAAGATCGTGTTTTCAAAGTTGGCGAAAGCATTATCTATTCGGAAAGCTTTATTTTGGCTTAAGGGAAGGGCTCTCTCTGACTTGGTCCTTTATTCTGACTGTGCCCGAGTAGTAGATGCTATTCGTAGGGAATGACGATCATACTTTTACTTTGGGTCGATTATTGAAAATTGTAGAAGTATCTTAAACTCTTTATGTACGGTGTCTATTTCACATATTAGTCACTCTTTTAATGTTGTCGCTCATGCATTATCTAGGCAATTTGAGTTTACTACTGGTGTTCAGAAGTCTGTTCCTCCTGACTTTATTGTTTCTCTTCTAAGTTGATTTAATGGATATTCTTTTCTTTCAAAAAATAAAAAAAATCATAAATAATTTTTAAAATATGAATTGTGACATTTTTTTTGGAATGAAGAGTAAATGATAAGTGATGAATACTTCTAACCGTTAATTAATTAATATAATATCCAATATTTTAGAGCTCATTAAAGTTGAAAATGTACAAAAATGACTCTTTTCTGCAAGAGTATATGTACATATATATTGATTATAATCATGAAAGTTGATCTCAATTATAAGACTAATGCTATTTTGACATCAAAAAATATAAATTTCATTTAAAATACTACAAACATTCACTTATAACGATTCCTTTTTTGTACCTAATGTGTTATACACTTCTGCATCATATACTCCGTAACATTCTCACAAAAAAAAAGATGAGTCCCATCTCCGATAGTTCTCTTAGGCCCAACTAGATGATCACTGAAAGGAGGTAAATTAGACTCTGATTGCAGATTGATGGCAAAGAGTGGAGCCTGCACCTGGTAATTTGAGAGGCCCTATGCTTAGCATAGTTGCTACATGAATCGAATTCAGATCTTATCCCTTAGACACTTCTCGTCCTTGCTAACTGTGCAATGCCTAACGACAATATTTTCAAGTATTATACGTGTACATGCAAACGCTCACATGTAAATTTTGTTGTTTTGAACATGAATTAGAAAACTAGCAAAACCTCACACACCAAAAAATTTTGAAATGAATCTAGAGTAAATCATTGATCTACTATTATCATAAGGTTTTCGATAATCTAGAGTGGTCCTTCTTTAATAGATATTTTTCATGAATAGTTCTTTTTAGACCTGTTACATTGGTGTTACGTTAAATTGAAGGCAAAAAATATAATTTTACATAGATCTTATTCGAGTGACATATTTTAATATCGACTTGATAGACAACATAATAATAATGACTTTGATCATGGATTATGATTCTAATCAAAGAGTACATATATAGACTATGGTTGCAGTAGATATTGACTGACTCCATTAGACAAACGATGCAACAACGACTTCTAGCATCGTTATGACAAGAAAGATAAAAGATTAGTGTGAAATTATATTTTTAACCATCAATTTAATGCCAAAATGACAAAAGATCAAAAAATGATTATCAGTGCAAAGGCACCCATAAAAAAATACTCCGGAATATCAAAGATAAAATTTGATTATAAAGAACCAAATATTAAAACACCATTATTTTAAAAGATCAATCATAGCATTTCCACTTGAATCTATTAGAGCATTGGCAGTGGTGAGGTCTTACCTTGCCACGCACTGCCACTCATGGAGATGAAAGGAGCACAATGGGCAAAGTAAAAAAATGGAGCGCATGGCGTGTGGCGTGTCACCCTGATTTCCGTGGGGAGTGCGAGGCACGAAGCAGCAAAAAAGCACTCTTCTTCTATTACTTTGATTTGCTTCCACAGTTCCACCGTAAAAAAACAAAACACTATTCACTACTTTACTTTGCTTTCTCCTTTTTTAATTTGTACTCTAGTTTTAATTTGTACTCTTTTTTTAATTCGTATTCTATTGCAAAAAATTTTTGTACTCTATTTTTAATTTCAAATAGAAAACTAAACTAATTTTGAATAACTAAATTATACTGAGTATAATTTAGATTTTTAAAACAAAATAGGTAAAAATATTTATAATTTAAAAAAAACCAAAAGTTAAATGTATCGAGTAGAACATAAAATAAAACCGGGTGATTAAAATATATAAAAATGTAAATAGAGGAAAAAAAATAATGACATGCCATTGTAGGATGTACTACTTTAATGTCATGCCACTGTGTGACTAGACTGACTTTGTTTAGCTCAACAATGCCATATCAGCGTGTGACATTCCAGTATATGTCTTGCCATTGTTCATGCTCGCGTGTATATACTAACACAACAAAGACAAAATATCCTTAACTTTCAGAACCAAAACAACTTACGATCAATTTGATTACCTATAGATAAATAGCTAGCAATAAAATAGGCGCCCGAGCTTATTATACGTGACGATTTGCAGATTTTCTGGGCATTTTAGGATCTCCAGGCTTCCTGCCAAACACGCCACAACAGATGCAACACCCGGAGACCTTTGGAGAAGGAGGATCACACGACGGCTTGAGATCAGCTGATGACCGGAAGCCGCGACTGCCGGAAGACCGACTGCGTCGGAGATAGCCGCCGCCGGCGGGGTTTGCGGAGGTTTCGGCCTTCGGGTCACCGGAGAGGAGCTTGTCGTCCCAAACCAGGCCCGACGAGCCTTGCCTTCGGAACGAGATTTCTGATCTTGGCAAAGCTGATCCTGCAGCCATTAAATTATGTTATCTTTATGGTTATGTATGTTATGTTGTGTAATATTTCCTCTTGTGTTATTTAATTTGAGGCCTAGCTAGCCTCCATCAATTGGATGGATGGCGGTTTATAGATGATGGGACAAATGTTGTGTGCGCGCATAATAATGCAGTCTTCCATGGGCATAAACAAAAAAACGAGACAAGACTAAAATATTGAAAATATACCAAAATAAGATTTTCATATTTTTATTTCTAAAATAGGACTTATATTACCAAAAATGGTCATGTACATTATCAAAATAGAAATCACCCTAAATATGACTAAAATATAGAGAAAAGTACTAAAATAAGACTTTCATGTTTTTTAACCGAAATAGGATTTTGTACTGTAGTAATGTAGCATTGTACACATGCACATTAATATACTTTTTTTTTGGTAATGTAAGTCCTATTTCGAGAATAAAAACATGAAAGTCATATTTTGGTATACTTTTAATGTTTTAGTCCTACTTTGGTCTTTCTCCCTTTTTTTCTCGAAATAGGACATGTGCACATTACTATACTTTTTGTAATGTATATGACCATGTTTGGCAATGTAAATGCATTTTATGTTTCGGGAATAAAAACATGAAAGTCTTATTTTGGTATATTTTCAATGTTTTAGTCCTACTTTGGTTTTTCTCCCAATACAAATCACTCTAAATAGAACTAAAACATAGAGAAAAGTACCAACATAGGATTTTTTTTGTTTTTCTCAAAATTGGACTTCACACTGTGGTAATGTGACATTGTATATGTACACATTACTATATTTTTTGGTAATGAACATGATCATGTTTGGTAATGTAGATACAATTTAAGTCTTATTTCAGGAATAAAAATATGAAAGTCTTATTTTTATATATTTTCAATGTTTTAGTTCTACTTTGACCTTTCTCCCGTATTTTTTCCGCATATTGAGATCAGAGTTTATACACCTTAACAAGAAAAATTGAATGAGAAGATTAAATCGGGATAGAGGGAGTATGTTATATCATTCATTTTCTCTATTATTTCAATACTAATAATTCTATTACAATGTAATATATTTTAATAGGGAATTTACGTAAATAGTACTAAAACATAATGATTTTCTCAATGTAGTAACATATATTCTTATTTTTCAATGTGGTACCACTGGTCATTGTCCACTGATTATTGTTCAAATAAATATCCACCATCACTGGACATTGTTTAAATTAAATGTCCACCATCACTGGACATTATTCTCGCCACTAGATTTTGTTCAAGTAATATTTAAGGAATAAAAATGTTTAAGTACTATTTAATGCAAAGTTCACTATTTTCATACATTTCAAACTTAAATAATTTTTAACTCTAGTTTTCAATTTTTCTGATCTTTTCAAAAATTTTCTTGACATGACAACCCTTCAAAAATAGAAAGATTATTATCTAACATAATAGTACTATGTAAAATATAGAGATATACTGGGTGTACACCAAGTTTGTATCTGAATTTGCACACCAAATATATCAACACGCATTGACAACAACTTGTACGATGCAAAAATAATTATTATCTCTGATACACTTGATGTGTAAGTTAAGCTAGAAATTTAGTATGGCCTAACCTTTTTCTAAAATATAGTACGGAGTATGTAACAAAAAGAAAAATGCTAGGGATACACCAAATGGTGTACCCCATTTGTCCCCCACCTCTTCCATCACTACAAAAAAAGGTAAGAGATTAAAAACAAATTACGGAGTAAATAAATAAAAATAAAATCAAATTGAGTGGTAAGGAAAGGGGTGGGGGACAAATGGGGTACACCATTTGGTGTACCCCTAAGTTATCTCAGCATTGCCACATATGGAGGACGTACTTCCCCTTCTAAATTATGGACTATTTTACTTGTTAGCCATTTTTAGTCGAACTTGACAAATTTTGACCTAACTTTGGAAGGAAAAGTACGTTTAGTTATGTTATTAATTAAATTTCATTAGGCTAATTTGATCGCATAGTATTGAAATAATGCTGATGGTGTAAATATAGATGTGCGGGTTGACCGGATTTGACCTGGACACTTGACCCGTAATATAAAACACGTAACAAGAACACAAAGTATGACCTAGACCGGGTAAATCTCCTCAGTCCGAAATATATTTCTTACTCTGTCTCAAGAGTGTACTAGTTTTTAGTGAGAGAAAGAATGGATCCCCTCCTCTATCCAATATCATCATATTTATAGAGGAGGATTTGTGACCTTCCCCTGTTCATCCATGGACAAAATAGGAAGTCCGTGGGAAGGTCACTGTACATAATCATCCTACTATTCAATCAATGAATTTAGCAACTACAAGCCAAGACATGTACTGTTCAATCAAAGACTATAAATGGATATTCTCAATCCAATCAGCCCTGCAAAGTGACAAATGTTCCTTTCACTGTTTGTCTCGTGATGGATGAACGGCGGGGTGGTCCCTCGATCTTTGACGTGGCTCACCATGCCTGAGATAATGGACCAATGTTTGTCAAGTAAGATGATATGACCGGTCACCTTTCTGTTGAAAGGTTGACCGGTCAGTTCTTGAGCTCAGCCCAGAACTTTGGTCTTCTTGAATTCTTTGCAACATTAGGTGATATTTTGGCTATCGCCCAAAATGTGACCGGTCACTTTTCTAGTGGAAGTGACCGGTCAATTTTGACCCGTCCCAATCGAAGGGTTAACATCATTTGGTGACTTGATAAAAGTGACCGGTCATATTTTGACCTGTCCCTTTTGGTTATCCGGGTCGGGTATAAGGATATACCCATCAAATGCTATCATGCTTCTATGATATGTTTTTTTTAATGCCCGCATGGGCAGCTCAGTTGTTCAAGAGCGTGAAAGCTTGGAACAATGACCAGGGATCGAGTCCCGCAAGCGGCAGTGTGGGAGCTATCCAAAAATTCCATAAAGGGTGAGGAGGCTCCTTGTGCGCAGTGGGCACGGGTCTAGCGTTCTTGGCTGACTGAGTTACCATGATTTACTTCCTCCACCATTCCTGTCGGGCAAGGGGGTGGGGGCGCCTGGGGTGGGCGATTCCACCTTTGGAACAATGATATGTTTTTTTATTGTCCAAAACAGTGCATTTGCATTGAAATTTGAAAGTGGTGTTTTTTAAATAGAGAAAGTGGTGTATTTAAATTTACAAAAGTCGCCCTTTTTTACTCCTATCCTCTCAATTTAAATTATATATTTGTTTTAGTTTACGATGTGTGACCAAAATTAATTTAAATTCAATCTATATGAGTTGTTTTGTGGAACTAAAAGAATTACATATTTAAAAATTATATCATAGACGGGTAAATTTCACATATGGTACCTGAACTTTCAACTATTTTTCGTTTTGGTACCTAAACTTTATTTTCTTTCAAAAAAATACCCAAACTTTGAATTTTTTTCCACAAATGGTACTTGGAGGCGTTGGAGCCGGTTTTCAGATAACTATCATGTCATTTGGGCCAAATTACAATTTTATATATTTTAAAATCTTCAATTTGACTCCATTTCTTTTTTCTCGTTCCCCCTCCCCCTCCCACTCCTTTCACTTTCTTCTTCTTTCACACTTCTTTTCTTCTTCTTCCTTCCTTCACCCATTTTTTCTATTCTTCTTCTTCATTAAACCCTCCTCCACTCACAACAACTCACCTCTCCCTTCTTGTTTAACCCCACCCCCTTCTTAGAGGTGTTCATCGGGTCAAATTCAGACCGGACTTGGACTAAATCGGGAAATAATAAGGGGCATTTGGTGGACCGAGCACCGGACCGATTAAGCTAAAGACCGGTAAAACCCAGACCGGACCGGGACCGGACCGAATAAATATTATTTTTAATTTTTTTTAAATTTGATTTTATTTATTTAATTTAAAGTATTCAATTGAATAAAAATATTACTACAACTAATTTTTATTTGTAACATATACTAAACATTGTCAAACGCAGTTGTTTTGAATTTTTTAAAACACTTTAAATAAAATATATATCTTCCATCTGTATTATATAAAATTTGTTTGAAATTTTGATTTTACATAAGGAATATTCTTCTTCTTAGTGTATTTTTGCTTTTTTGTAAGATTTGTTTGAGTTTTCGATTTATTTTGACAAACAGATGCATTTGTTACTATTTATGTTCATGAGATTGTTTACAATGTTTGTTTTTTCGGATTAGAGTTTCATTATTGATAAAATACAAATTTAAGTTATACTATTGGTACATAAATTTGAAATGCATTAGATCGCGAATATAAAGGTAATGTTTACCTTTTTACACTTTTCATGTTAAAAATATTTAAAAATCATTAGAATTGGTATCTTATTTTGAATTGAAAATGTATTTAAAGAATTAAATTAAATAACAAAATCAAAACATTTTAAAAAACTTTTGGTATGAAAGTTAAATTAATTTTAAATATAAGAAAAAACCTTAAAAATACAATATTATTATATAAAAAAATATTTTAAAAAATAAAATGTAACCGATCCACCGGTCTGGACCGAAATCCGGTGGACCGGACCGGACCAGACCGGAACCCGGATAAGGAAAAAATGAGGACCGAAGACCGGACCAAATAAGGACCGGTCCCGTGTGATTTTGGTTGGGTTTTGGGTCGGTCCGGGTCCGGACCAAATAACGCACACCCCTACCCCTTCTTGAGTCCCCTCTTCTTTTTTTCTAATTTTAATTTCCTCTTTAAGTTTTCTTTTTGTTTTTGAATTTTTTGTTGAATAACTTTTTTAAATTTTTTTCAATTTTTTTCTTGATATATGTGTTTTTATATTTTTTCCCGGCCTTTTTTTTGTTTTTTTTTGTTTTTGTTTTCTATTTTTTCTCGATGTTTTAATTTTATTTGTTTGTTTGTTTACGATTTTTTTACTAACTTTTGTGTTACTTTTTCTACGGAGTATCTTTTTGTAAACAAATGTCTAATTTTTGTTTGTTTTTTGTTTTATTTTTTTGATTTTTTTGTTTGACTTATTTTTTTTGTTTTCAATCTTTGTTGTAAAAAATTAAATAAAAATAGTTAAATAAAATCAGGCCAAAACAAATAAAAAGGAGGACTAGAAACAATTACAGTAATACTAAAAAAGTTACTAATTAATCTTTTGTTTTTTTTTCTATCTTTTGTGTTAACAAATGTCTTATCTTTTTTGTTTGATATTTTTATATTTTTTTCATAAAAAGTAAAACAATAATTGAAATGCATTCTTTTTTTGTTTCTCATTTTATTTTATCTGTTTTCGATCTTTATTGTAAGCAGTTAAACAAAAAATAATAGAACAAAGTCAAATTAAATAAAAAAGATGAAAAACACAAAACATGAGACTAAATATAACAAAAACACGTAGTATTGTTTTTTTTGTGTTTTAGTTTTTTAATATTTTTTTATATTTTTTCTAGATATCCAAATATTATTTATTTGCTTGATCTTGTCATCCACCCCATAAACGTAGTTTCAAGCTTCCACCTCGAAGGATTTCATTCAGAAGTTCGTCAAGCCTCTGTCTCACGGAGAGAAGGTGGGAAAAGTAGAGTTTCTTCTTGCGGTTGGCCGGAAAGTTCATCAAAAATCGACGAGCCAAATCCTCCCATGAATAGATTTTCCCTTCAGGCCGGTCGTTAAACTACTTGGATGCCAGTCCATCTAGAGTTGCAAGGAATGAGTTACTAGCTAGTGCATCCCAAGATGAATTTGGCGGTCACTCAACCCTGGTTGAACCTTGGTTTTTCATTGACCTAGTATCCCTCGAACCGGTTGCTCTCCTCAACTCTCTTCTTGTTCATCTCCAGCTCCTCATCGTCAGCTTCATCTTTTGCCATGGCGATGGCCGTTGCATATTCTCTTGGTTTTTCTAGTGTCAAGTTCTTGGAGAAGTCACCCGATCTCAAGACCAGGTGAAACGATGAAAGCTTGGTCATGTTGTACGCCCCATAGACCTTAGTGGTCTCAAGCTTCCACCTTGACAGGATTTCCTTCAAAGGTTCGCCAGGCCTCTGTATGACGAAGAGAATGTGGGAAAAGTGGAGTTACTTCTTGCGGTTGGCCGTAAAGTTAATAAAAAATTGACTGGCCAAATTCTCTTATGAGTTGATTTTCCATTCAGGCCGGTCGTTAAACCACTTGGGCGCTAGTCCGTCCAGTGTTGTAGGGAAGGACCCGCAAAGGACCTCCTCTGAGAACGTGAAAACATTCATAAAATTTTGATACCGGTTGAAGTGATTCTGTATATTTGTCGTCTTATCGTACCTTAGCATAAATTGCATCTGAAAGTTCTCTGTGACTGGAGCCCTCCATACCCTTTTAAAGAAAGAGGAGTGAAGCTTCAAGTATGGCTTCGTGGAGTAGCCGCTCTCGTTCCTTCTCTCGAGCGCGTATATCCTCTGCAAGAGGAATTCAATCAGTTCATCCCTCCGGGCGTTTGCCCCACCTCTTCCTCTTCAGGAGCGCACTAAGGCGACCTGAAGAGAAGATCGTAGATAGGTTGTGCGGCCCGATGTCCCTCTACCTCTGCGTCCTGGTGACACTCACAGTTCTCTTTTTCACATCGCATCATTACCTTCTTAGCTTCTTGCTCCCCGACGATGGTGTTATTGCGACTATGCAATCGCTTCTTGGCTGGCATAAACATTTGGCTGAACACAGATACATGTGATTTACTTTCATCACGACCCTTCTTCGAGGGGTCATGTCACTTCCCCAGATCTTCCGTCAGGTCATCCTTGCAAGTTGCCAAGCTTTTCGCCGCAGGTTCTTTCTCTAGTGCCTTGCTGCGTTCATCTTGTCAGAGAGACTGACATGTGTCTTGGTTAGTGTGTCCCCCCTCCATGTTTGTCACCATGCGTGGATCTTCCATCATTTCCCTTAGATTACAGGTAAAAAGCTCCACACTTTTTGCCATGATTTGTGGATCTTCTTGTTGTTCCCCGTGTAAGACCATTTCCAGGTGTTGAGCAGGGACTGACGTGTGGAAGCCCATCATATATGTTGGGCGGTGCTCCTTGGACCACACGGCAAGAAGGAGAGCAAATCCCATTCTAAGTGGGATTGCTATTGATTTGTTTCCTTGTTCATATTTAGTGATTTGTTTCCTTGTAGGAATAGAATTCCTTTTGTGTTTTGGTCTTTATCCTCTCCTATAAATAAAGGAGAAACTCCTTGTACTTAGCAGAACAATTCAATATACAGAATATTTTTTCCCTCTTATCAAATTCTACATGGTATCAGAGCAAGATTCCTAGGGAAAAACCCT